CCCAGGCATCCCCAAAACTCTGATCTTCAATCCAACTTTGTCTTTACAATAGATGGGACCTCTCTGTGTGAGCCAAGAATGGCCTCTGAATTGTTTTTACAATCCCTACCATCTCCATCTCTCTGTGTGAACTCCCCCTCACTGCTCCCGCTGGTCCTTCAAGCACTTGCATGGGAGAAAAACCCACCCAAAAGGCAGATGAAAGAACCCACTGTCTCCCAGTAGTCTTGACTTTTATTCTAAAACTCACCTCTGGCATCCTAATTCTCAGCAATTCTTCTCAACTCTTAAACACAGCTTTTAAGTTTCAGGTGACCATTTTTGCCTGCAGGCTTAACAAAACTCAGAGAAAGTGTCCTCAGGGCTGCCAAACTCAAAGAGCTGGGTGGGAAGATGAAAGGATGCACCCGGTTTGCTTGAGACTGACTGATGGGGTGGTCTCCTTTTTTTTTTTTTTCCCCTCCCCATCCACATGGACACTGTAAGCTCATATGATATAAAGTGGGAATTAATATTCTCAATATGTTCACTTCCAGACACTGGGCCACAGGTTTTTCCAGTAGCTCTGCAGACTGTGTAATTCTGAACCTCTGAGAATGAGTGGCCCGCTGGGCTCCTCCTCTGCCCCAGTCCAACCTTCCGAGACGGTTTCCACAATTCCGAAGCAGTCCCCAGGACACAGTGGTAACTAAAAGAAAATATCAGGTCTGGGGAGACCCACTTTTGGTCCTGTGCCATTTGCTGCTTGGAGATGGAGGGCTAGAGGAGCTGGATTAAAGCCCAAACAAGGAAGTAGAGTTCCCTTGCATCAGAGCCCAGAATGGCTGAGGAGATGCTGAAAGAAAAGGTTTGAAGAGTAAAGGTCAGGAGCTAAGGGAGTGTCCCTCGAGTGGGCAGTAGGAGGCAGGTCACTGTGCAGCATGGAGGGGCTGCTGTATAAACAGGGATGTGGGGAGAAAGGAAGAGAACCAGAAGAAGCACTCTGTGAGATCTGAGGCTTCGAGAAGGGATAAGTGGAAGGAGCGCAGAGAAGCAGGGAAGGCATAATTTAGGGCAGCTACCTTGAGAACAGAGGAGACTCAAGTAGACATTTATGATTTTCAGAGCAACTCAGCAACCTAGAAGTAGACCCAGAGGGCTTGTTCAGGGGCCATCATCTTTAGCTGTGGAAATGAGAAAAACCTGCAGCAGCTCTAGCTGGCAAGAGATTTAGAATAGAAGTGAGTTCCCTGGAGATCTGGAGGAGAGCAGAGGAGGGTTTGTGGCAGGACATCAGGAAAGATTGAGGGAGTTCTTCCTTGAGAACCAAGGGTGGCCCGTGTGCCTTTTGTGAGTGAGAGATGAAAGGTCACAAACGGGGAGCTTCACAGGTGGGGATCTTGGCAGGTGGAGATGCTAATGAGGGTGAAATCCCGAGCACATCTACACCAGCCGAAAGATAATGTGGGATGCTGTGAAGGTTACCAGAATAACTCGGGGCAAAGAACTGTGATTCATGGTGACTTTGAATCTGAGAGGACGATAGAAATAAAATGAGTGGAAAGAAAGACCCTGAGGCAGGTACTGCTGGGCTGGGGGTAAGCACTAGGGGATACGGGGCTAGGGAACTGAAATAGATCACGAATGGCAGAACAAAAGAACAAGAAGGGCAGTAGAAAAAGCCAGCCCTCCAGGTAGAACAATGTCCCAGAAGTGGTCTTGAAAAGGACTGGACCGGAACTCCTCCTCTTGGCCTTGGCATTAGCTCAAGGGAGTGGTCTTCATAGCAGGGACTGTGAGGAAGACCCCGTTACTCGGAAGATCCAGGTGCGGTTCATGTGAGTAGGTGAAGGAACGGTGGAGAGAGCGATTCAGGATATAGGGAAGTTTGTCCTTAGTAGGATTAAAGTTCCAGAAAGATCCGTGCAGGTGTTAAGGAGAACAGTTCTTAATCTTAGATGAACAAAAGAATAACCCAGGGAGTGCGCAAAGAAAAGCCCCAATACCCACACCAATTAGGTCAGAACCTTCGGGTTGGGAGCCCGGAGCACAGTCTTTTTTTTTTTTTTTTTTGAGCAAGTCTTTTTTGAAGCTTCTCCAACTGAGTCTTCTGTGCTGGGCTGGAGAACTACTGGTTCAGGAAGGATGAGATTGGGGAGGTGGGAGCCAGTGGGCCCGAAGGAGGAAGAGGTGTTTGGAAAGGTTGTATTTATAGGCGATGGGTGTTAGAGAAGCAGGGAGATGGCAGAGACTGGTGGGGAGCCCTGGCAGGCAGGGTGCCAAGATGGCAGAATTCAGGTAAGAAAGGGTCTTTCTAAAAATCAGCCCCAAGTTTCCAATTCAAGCATGGATATTAGGCAGCGTTTCTGGGACCGAACTAATTATCTCTTCAGTATGTCGGCTAGACCGTTTACCTATAACTAGGATTTTGGTATTTTTACATTATTAAAAGGCCATGAGGTGCAGGTAAGCCTTATCCATTATTCATATTTGTTTCAGGCTAAGTGCTGGATCCCCAGATGCTGAGAATTTATGTCTATTTGGAAAGCACTGACCATGATGCAAACTGCTCCTGGGTTGTGTTTACTGCTTAAACCTGTTTGTCAATCTTTCTCGGTGTTGGCCATTTGCATTTCTTTTCACCAATTAAAACAATTAAAATTATTTTATTGAATTACTACCTTTTCTTGCACAGATTTGTGTGTTTCTCTTGGGAAGAAAGGTCGAGAGTGCCTAAGTATGAGAACTATGTGAATGAATATAAAATACGTGTTTCAAACATTTCAAATATAATGTAGAGCTCCAAAGTGTGCTTTTTACAATGATTTTTCTTGGAATGGTTAAAAGATTTCCCTTAATCAGATCCCACAGCTCCACTACAAATACAGTTTTCCCTATGCAGAATTTAAGCCTGGGATGATTTCTATCCTGACAGGGCCTTAGAAGCAGCACATCTGCAAGGAATATAAAAGAAAGAACTATAAGCTTGACACTACAGCTGCGCGTTCCCATCATTTATTCAACATCACAAACTCTTACAAGGTCACCCATCAAAAATAGATCCTGTGTCTCATCCCCTCTGTGGACCCAACCTGCAGCACTCTGCTTTCATGACCCAGAACTACTTTCTGGATGGAAATTCCAGAAGGAAATACTTTGATGTGTAGAAAAAAATTCTTCCCTTGGCTTCCTTGACACATTTTTTCTTCCATGTCTCCTCTTCCTCCTCTGGGTGCTCATCCTTCTATAGCTCCCTCCGCTGGCTGCCCTTGCTCACCCCCTGCAAAGGCAGGGCTCCCCATTGTCCCCTGCGTTTAGGGTGTGGCTCTTCCAGCAACTCACATTACAGAGGGGCAGTGGGGAGGATCTAGTTGCCTGGGCTTCAAGCCTGCTTTCTCCATTCAACGGTTGTGTGCCCTAGAGCAATTTACTTAATTTTTCTTTGCCCTGAATTGAACATCTGAAAAATGGGGTTAATGGTATCTTACAGGGTTGCCGTAAAGATTAAATGAGTTAATAATCGTTTAGAATCGTGCCCAGTGCATAGGAAGTTCTTGGTAATGCTTGTTATTTTCAACAAGGTTGCTTGTCTTATCCCTCTGCTCTCCGTTGATAGTCTCCCTGATCACAGGGATGACACATATCAATATTACATCATTCATTCCTGAGTTTCTACTTCAGGATCTGCTCTCTGTCCAGAAAGCCACACCTGGATTTCTAACTGTCCCTGGGCATCGTGGTCCTGATGTCTAAGGCAAAACTCTGGCTTGATATTTCTCAAAGCGAAGTCACCATGTCCACACCCTAGAGCTACCTGCCCCAATGCGTGCTGCTGTTACTTAGAACCACCTCCGATCTTCTGCTCCGCCCACGCAGAGTGGGTCACCAGGTCCCACGGGAGTTCCTATAGGTCCTACCACAACTCATTCCCTTCTTCTCACTCCTCCATCCTCCACCCAGATCTACCACACTTTTCTTCTTGATGCTATCTTTTCACTGATGTCAGACTAATATTTCCAATGTAGATTTCCAATCACGTCTTTCATTGGTTGTAATTTGTCTACTGGCCCCCCAATAACTCAAGATGCTGAGTCTCAACTCCTCTCTCTGGCAGTTGAGATTCACTCAGTAAAACTCCTATGTGTCATTCCGGGCTTCCCGGAAATAGTATGCTCATATGAAGTCTGTATTTACTGTTCCCTCTGTGTTTCTTCCCGCTGTTCTCTTCACCTTGATATTTTGTATTTTTTTCTCATGATGCTGGTCAAACCCTCCCTTTCGTTTGGGCCAATTTCAAATATCAGCTCTTTTCCACATGTCCTGAAAATAATACTATGCCCCCACCTCTCCTGAACTGCCTCCCGTAGAACTTTGCATTCATCTCTAGCATTTATCGGACTCTGACTTGTCTCCCCGTCCTTGGCATACTTCTTCAATTCCTCCTTCTAGATTTTAACTTCTTCAAAGGCACTATATCCTTTAAAGCTTCAAATGGGATAAAATGAATCGCAATAATAGCACCAGGAATTAAGCTCATTTATTCTGCAAAGCAGCAGCCTGTTGTCAAATGCTAACCCTCTTCCTCACAGTCCTCATAAAAAGAATGGGAAAGCATATAAATGAAGTGGCACACAAGAGGAACATACAGTGTGAGCAATTACGCCAATTCCTTTTATAGGAAGCACACAGCTGAGATAAACATGGAAGCACATTATTTACCATCCACATTTCGTTGCCAAATTCTTCTACTTCTTCTAAATTTTTCATTAAAGGAAATCAAGGAAGGTAAACAAAAGTAGCCCTTGGGAGGAATCAGCATAATGGAAACCACTCATTTATCAGCATGGCCTAAGAGAAATGTCTTTTTTTTTTTTCCCCCAACTGCATCTTTTGGGGCTAGACGCTTTGGGGTTCACGCATTGGGCGTGCACACACACGCCCCTTCTCTGGGTGTGCTCCACCACACCACATGTTGGCTTTGGTGTGAAGGGAGAAGAGGAGGTTTGGCAGGAGCGACGTACCTTCAGGGCATCCTGCGTATCGTCCAGACAGTAGACTCGAACACTGTACTCCAGAGAGGAACAGCAAAGTGGCCCGAAGATGGCCAGCTTCAGGCGCTTCGCAGCAGCTTTGGTGGTGGACTGCCCGACCAGGGCATAGGTGCTAAGGTTCTCTGTGAGGAGGTGGCAAGCCTCTGCATCCAGCTGAATGTAGCAGGGGGTGGTGAAGTTCTCCTCCCCAACCACCACCACATCCTGAAGGAGAGGATGAAAGGAGCCGTGACTGAGCCACTGCGGGTCCCGCTGGCCACCATAATGGCAGCCAGGCAGGCACAGCAGCATCTCTTCTGCAAGTGATCATCCTTTTCCCTGAATTTTTTTTCCTTTCTTCGGCTTTATTATACCCTATTTCCATTCTTAATCATTGTCTCCCTTGCCCTTACCTTCATATTGCTAATATTTTTTATTTAGATGTCCCCTATTTAGCATTTTTTTCCCATCTGCGAGTCTACGTTACTGGAATCGACATAAAATTCCAAAAGAAATTCATGAATTATCCTCTTAATTTCAGTGCACCTGAGTTTATTACCGATCTTTGAGAATTTAATGTTTTAATCTCTAAGGGTCTGACTGAATCTAGAAGTATTGTTTTATTTCAATGTCATTATAGAGTAGTAAGTTTTCCCTAAAAATCTAGGGGTTCAAAAAGGTTTAGAGAAATTAAGGAATTATGCAACACCATTCTACTCTGTTTTTCCAAACTCACCTGTCAATTACTTTTCAAAGCAGTACACTGCTTTTTCTCAGTAATCTGGGCTGCTAGACCCTAGAGAAAGTACAATATAGCAAGCTCAATGCTCTTCTCTGGTAAAACAGCCTATCCTTTTAGCTTTTGAAAATATTTAGCAAGAAATAAAAATAAATGGAAGTGCTGAATATTGTTAAAATAGTTACAAACTCAACTAAGTTTTGATTTATGCAAATGGCTCAGGCCACAGAAGAAAATCATCTGAAAGGCCAAGTGTAGGACCTATAAACCAAGGGTCAAAATTCCACATGCATCTCAGGGCAGCCAGGTAATAGGAACTTGTGAAGCAGGTAGGGCAGAAGACAATAGGGAGTGGGGGAGACTGGGGCAAAGTGGAGCACAAGCCTGTCTAAAGAGCTCAGCCTCTACTGGGCTCAGCTCATCACAGTTACGCAGACATGCAGACCCAGTGAGAAAACCACCTTGAATTTTTCAAGAGAAGCTAGAAGTTCACATTTTTCATGTGAAATTTTCCAACTTTTAATTAATTCAAATTTAAAAGAAAACTCCATGTGGGAGAAATAAAATACATGCATGGGCCTGATTCTGCCTCCCCATTAGGCTACTTTCTCTCCACAGAGGCAGAAACTACATCTGTTTTGATTCCCACTGCAGCTCAGTGGGCCTGGCTCATGGGGAGCAAATAGCTATTTGTCAAAAAAAATGAATGAATGTGTCATCATAAATTGAGTCTCTGGGGCTGAACAAAGATATGAAAGAAGTTGCCACCTCGGGTGGTTGTTTATTAGCTAGGCCTTGCAACATCATCTGAACGATAGTGGGGGGGAGGGTAATGCCATCCATGAAATCATTTCTTCAACTGTGTCTGTCCTCAAAGATGAAGCTCAAACTGCACTGGCAAAGAAAGAAAGAAATTCAGTATCTTCGGGTTTATTTTAGCCCAAAAGGACACCTGGAAATAAGTTTTTTTTTTGTTTTGTTTTGTTTTTCCCCTCCAGCAGGCTGAGGGCAAGCCTTGAAACGAATCCATGAAGCATGTCACAGAAAGCCCCCAGTAAGACATAGTAGAGAATAAAGATGCACCCTGTCCCTGCCATGGGTCTAGGAGTACATTCTTAAGCATCGCCCTCTTCTATTCTTCTCATTTCTTTGTTTCATTTTGTTGTTGTTACTGTTATTATTACTGAAGTCCAGAAATAAGGTAATAGGGTATCAAGCAGAGTCTTGTGCAAACAATTTAGAATCACTTGAAATTAAGACTTTGGGATGTTTTCGAGATAAATCATTTCAAGTTTATGGACTGGAAGTTAGGTTTGGCTAAGTCTGGTCATAATTTAACATAAAGCATACACTTAGACTTTAGGTTTGGATTTTCAGTCCTCTGGCAAGGAGTGATCCCCTCATGTGGCCAAGAGAACATGTCCTTAAGAAGGAAATTATAGTAATCCCAGGGATGCCTTTCTAATTGTAATACTACTTTTTCCTATAATATTAAAGGCTTGACTCTTCATGTACATTTTTTTCTAAAAATTTCTTTCCTAAAAGAAAAATACCTCAAGTAATCACAAAGTATATAATATATAGGTTGGATGCTTTGTAATGATTACACGAAAATACAGGGGTAGTTTTCAAAACTATTAAACATTTTTTGATGAACATATTCCTGAAATATGCCTTCTTTGGAATATTCTAAAATGTAATGTTTAATTGGGCAATTTCCCACTTAAACAACAGATACTGTCTTTTCAAGGGATGACATGAAAATACGCAAGCTGGTTTTGTTTTTAGTTACTGGGTATAAAATCTTCATGGTAAATCTAACAAATTCTTTTGTTTGTAACTTTGGGTGCTAATTGAAGAATTTTGATGTGAAGAACAGGATCTGTTTAAGGCACTAGCCCTAAGAAGTTATGATGGCAATCGCCACAGCCAAGACACCACAGGTGTTCTTCATTCTAGCAGAGCTTAGGAGAGGCACCCTTTCTGTTTTCCCAAGTTCAGTTCGGAAGAACTATATTCCCTGTATGTGTCTACAATGTCTATCATTTTCTGACCCAGGTGCAATGTTTTTCTACCTGCAAATTTCAAAAGTATATAGATGTTTCCTATCCTAAGACATAGTATGTATGTTTCAACAGGGACTTGTGTAAGACTCTCAAATATACTTTCCCCTAGGAGTTAGCAAATGCTTGACCACCATTTTCTTTGTGCCTACCCATCAGTAGATAGAGCATTCAGGAACCCATCTCTCTCCCTCCTTCCGTTCTTCTCATACACTCTCTTCCCCTCTCTCTTTTCTTTTGAGTGCAAGCTAAAATTCAATTCATGTTCTGCTTTCAAAATAAAAATCTTCCCATAATTATTCCAGTTTGTTTGCATGATTTTTTCTTGTGTTCCGTCTTTATCCTAATGGAAGCTCACCTCCCACTGTCCCTGTGCTGCCTGGTTCTTGAGCTGTATCTTCCAGTCTTCGGTATTGGGATCTGCGCAGTGATGCATAGTGAGAATAACAGGGCGGGTCAGCAGAGCTCCGGGAGGCCCACAGCTCACCACAGGGGTCAAGAGTGTCTGGGTGTCTTCCATGGGTGGCCTAGGAGAAGAGCAGAGATTGGCACCAGTGACATTTGCATAGCATCCACTTACTACGTACTCATTGAGATTTTTAGATCTGAAGTTTTACAAATGGTTTCTTCTTGGGAGTTTTTAATGTTTTTTGCTTTTTAGTTTTTTTTTTTTTTTTGGTTGGAGGGAGACAGAGAATTAAATGGGAAGACATGTCCTTTATACCAAGACTTTATTTAATCTTCATGACTGGAGATATTTATGGTAACAGTGAATCAGCCAGTATCTCTTTGATCTCCTTCCCCCAGACACAGGTCTGCCTCTGGTAATTTCCTCTGAATTCATGTACCAATACTTTTCGGATGGAACAAGAAGGAACAGAGTCCTTGGGAGATTATATAACCATCGTTTTTGATAATACTTGCCACTGCTCTCACAGGGTTTTACATATTTTTATTTTTTTAGGACCTAACTTGAGAAATACTTAAAAAAAAAAAAAATCACTTCAGAGTAAGGACACCCTAGAGCTAAACTTCCAAATGACTTTCAGGAATAATCTAGGCTAGTAGAGCAGATTCATTCTTTCAAATATGACCAGAGAGAATATAGAACTGTATTCTATAGTTCTAGAATTTAAAATGAAATCTACTTGTATACTTCATACTCAGAGACTCTGGGTGGAAAGAACTTCAAAGATCTAAATTCCTTATTCCACATTTTTAAAAATTGTCTTAAGACCTTTCCCTAACATGAGTGTAATCAACAAACAAATGGAAAGATTAACCCAAGGTATCAGTTGATATGTGATCAGTAGTTCCAAATTATTGAATGGGTTGCTCAAAGTCTTAGAGCTAACAAGTGCTAGCACTGGGACTAAAGTCAATGCCTTCTGAACAACAATACTCATAACTACTCTGTCAGAACAGTGCGGCTAAGAAATCTCGAACTCAGAGTTCCAGAGGAGGCAGGGACCCTGGGGTCAGCAAGCACCACCGTCCATTCAAAGTAGGAGCCCCTCTACAATATGCTGACATATGGATAGTGCTTCAAACACATTCAAAATTGTGTTCCATTCCTACTGAGGGTCATCTCATCTATTACCAATTCAAATCTACAGAAAGTTCTTAGGATAAATGCAATTTGCCTTCCTGACACTTCTCTTCACATATCCTTGGCCTGCTTTCTCTCCACTTTGGCATCAGAGCCTTTCAAATATTTAGAGATTGTTATGATGCCTCTGAAAACTCTTCTTTATTTCAGACCAAATAGCCTCAATTTTTGAACTTCAACTAGAAAAGCATGGTTTCCAGGTATCTCCCCATATTTCTATCTTCACTTTTATATAGATGTTTGTTAGTATTCCAATGTCTTCACTAAACTGATGCATCTGAAAATGAATATTATGCTTACATAGCCAGCATAGTAGGACTACTATTTTCCTTGATTTGGAATATGTAGTTGTGTAAATGCCTCACCGAACTGTTGCCTTAGATTATCCTCAGTCAAGCAATTATTTATAAATATTATTGCAGGCTTCAGTTACATAGGAAGATGGAGATAATATGGTTAAGCATCTCCTTTATAAAATGAGGCAATGAAACCCCAAGAAGGTCAAGTAATTTGTTAAAGCTAATCACTCAGTGTATTCCTAACATGAAAGGCTCTTAGGCTAAGTCTATAGTTTTGCGGTTGCAGTGATGGTTTTTGAACCTATGTACAGAAATTTGTATTTAGCTATTTAATTTCACCTTAAGTTTCAGAGAAAATTTCAGGTCATTTATTTCTTAATGCTGTCTTTCTTCCAAATATCGGCCAAATATTCCAGTCTTTTAGCCACCATAAATCTAAAATGCCTGCCATCTATGGTCTCGTTCCAATCATTGATAGCATTGTAGTACAAAAATATGGCAAAGACCTTTTCAAAAATACTACTCGAAGACTCTCTCCAGTCTGACATCAATAATCTGAATTTGTTGGTTTAGCCAAATATAAACCAGTTAAAAGATACATTGCCCGATTCACATCTTTCCATTTCATTCACATGGATATTATAGTGACATATCAAATTCCCTTATAATTGTGATGGTCACTTAAGAAAGATTTTCCTCTAAGATTTTTTTCTTTGTTTATGGTTAATATATTAACTACTAAATAATCTAGAAGTTAGCTTATATCTATAGTTCACCCTAATTTAACACTCAATGAATGATGGCAGCTGTTATATATATATATATATATATATATATATATATATATATATCTGTGTGTGCGTATTTGGAAGACATATACTTGGAAGACAATTCTCCATGGATCTTTCACGTTTCTGTATGTCTTTTCAAGACAACTATATAGCAATCACCTTGGAAGATAAAGATACTACTTATCTTTATAGCAAATGGCAAACATGTCTACTTCCTATTATAAAAAACTCAAGTTATCTAAGCTACAGGTCCTTCCTGGAATACAACCAATGAGTAGGTAGATATCATGTGATTTTCTCTGCTTCACCCATTTGAAACTGAGGTGTTGGGACTTGGCACAAAAATGGTAAAACTCTTGATTGTGTTACTGCTGTGAGTAACAAACTGTCCTTTGTCTCTGACCCAGAAGTCTTGTGTCATCTATCAACATCCACAGAACTCCTTGAGAGTCCTTAGCTCTTGACAATTATTATCCTTTTGACATATTTTCTCCTTAGTAAAACTTGGTTATCACTGCTACCTCTTATTCTAAAATTTTGCAAGGATCTTACCAACCTATGGCTTTTCTTTCTTCCTATTTAGAAAATAAAAATACTTTTTATCTCCTTTTAGTCTTTGCCATCTTTATATCCTGAATGAATAATGATACGGTTTTATTAAATCTAAACTTATCAAAGTACTTGGAAATGTATTTTTTGGAATAAATGTATTTTTTGGAATAATACAATTATTAAGAAGTCTTTACCATCCCCTTTACCCCTTAGTTTTCATTTCCCTTTAACCCAGTTTTTCTTCCTTCCTTCTACTCTGAAATTCATTCTCTTAGTACATGGGTGAAGTTTTGGTCTCACTGTGGCATAGTTAATATTATACTATCTGTCCTAAGCAGTAGCCTTATTCTTGCTAATTCTACTTTTCCTACCATGATGGAAAAAAAACAAAAACAAACAAACAAAAAAAAACCAGTGACTACATTTTTGTGAGCACTACTCTTACCTTTCAGTTACAAGTGTACATTGAGAAGTGAGTATGAAACTTTTAAGGAAGGAGATTTAAGTGGAATCCATTTCAAGTGGTCCTTGCAATACAGTTGGAGATTGGAAACATCTGTCTCTCAGTCTGCTGTTAGCAGCCGGTGCTTGAGGCGGAAAGAGGAGGGGTTCTTCTCATCACTGAGTTGGAACAGAAGGGAGCAGCCTCCCTGCTGGGCTGGGGAGCTGTCAGACCCGTACTCTCCAAGCACACCCCTGGCATGCAATATTGATGGGCACCATTCTTGGAGGAGGGATAGCAAGGGAAGGAAGGGGCAGTTGGTGTCAAAAGAATTTATTAACCCACTGAGGTGCAAGAATGTAATGAATAGGGAAGTGGTGAAGCGGAATTCGTGATGGGGAATGAAAAACAAAGAAGAAATAATGATAAGAATCTTTCTGTTTTCAAGATGAAAGAAGTAGTGTTGAAATTGGAAACATTTCCAAGCATATATGGAAGGAGTGACCTAGGGAAGATTAAAGATTTAACTATGTGAAACCAAAGGTCAGAAGGTTTAAGTCCACAGTTCCTTTCTTTACATGAAGAGAGGATAATAAAATACACAGAATAAAACTAGTAGAAAATACATATAAATAAGGCTGACTCATGATTTTGCAGTGGGCTCCACCCCTTATGTCACACGTGTTACCTGAGATTTTTCAGCTAACATTCTCTCAAAATGAATGGCAGATGACATGGAAATGAACACAGAGCAAAAATCAGCTGCAGAAGCAGCAATTAAGTCAAAAGTCAGTAAGGAACAATAATTAAAGTTTTCAAGGCTTTTCAATGTCCAGCGAGGATAATATGGTAAATGCTGGGTGGATTCTGAAGCCTCTGGGACAAAGCCCCTCAGAGAGGAGTTTGAGTTTCCTGTCAGAAAGATTTTTCTCATCCCTTGCTTGCTGTTATCAAGTGAGGAGAACTTCTCCTACACAGAAGGGCATAATTTACAAAACTTTCATAAAAGCAATTGCATTTGCTGCTCACGGCACACCTGTAAGGGAATTAGGATAAGTATTTATTTTACTTCTTTTTCAGGAAGAGGAAACTGAAATCTAGAGATATTAACATACTTGCCTACGGCCTCAAAACCAGTAACAGGCAAAGCTAGATTTCAAGCACAAGTGATTTAGTTTCTTTTACAGAGTGGTGTGCTTTGGGTGGTTTATCTGGGTTTAGGGCCTTAAGACTTTTTTTTTTTTTTTTGCCTATTTACTAGAACAAGCTCAACATTACTTCTTGAAGAGAATCTGTCTCCATCCACCTCTGTGGAGACAAGATGCCTTCTATTAACATACATGCCTTTTGTCAGGTCCCTCAGGATGACAATCCCACCCAAGACTCAGCTGCCTTTTGAAGCACACGGTTTCACGTATAACTGGCAACTTGAAATATTTGCACTCTGGGTATCTGACAGGAAATATCTAACTCACTTGCTATCAAAAGCTCAATTGAGGAAAAAAAAAATTATGGAAGCCGCTCTGAAGCCGCTTGCCATTTGCCTAAACAAGCCAGAATCTATCCCTGGATGAAGCCAGAACAGCTAAGTATTATGCTCTGACTGAACTGGTGAATCCTTGTGGAATTATTTTACTGTATTTATACTTGGACCTTATACCATCTACTAACATGGAGGGACACTAACAGAAGGAGCCCTACGAAAACTCATTGCTGTCTTTATTTTAAGGATGTTGTTCATTGTATTAACAAAGAAAAGATGTCTTCCTTATGTGGAATGAAAGGAGAAATACATGAACTTCTTTTGGGCGTATTTTTCCTCATGGACACACGGATTTTGAAACTTATCACATTCCCCTCTTGAAAACTTTGGAAGAGTAAATTCATGACCTAGTACCAGGAAATACACTGGGAATCACACGAAATGTTTTATACTTTAACTGCTCACCTGACTTTGTTATCTTTTCAAATCTTATTTTTTCTCATTTTCTCATTTTTTTCATCCACTTATTTACCATTTTTTCCTCTCATTGTAAAGACTGTGTTTTCATAAATCACCTTGAACCATTTCTTTATAAGTAGGACTGCGGTATGTGAACACTGTGGAGAACAGTGAGAGAATAAGATTTAAATATACCTGGACTCCACTCTTCTCCCCCTATACCTGTAGCCTTCATACAGCTGTACGTTGAAATAAGAGCTTGAGGACTCAAAAGGGGAATATCATTGAGTTTCTCCAAGAATAATAATGTCAACTATTATTTTACCAAGTTCCAAAAACATCTTAAAGAAATGAAAACTTTCTGCTATACGATTACTTACATAACAGAATTTTGGCCCTCTATCCTAACATACTGTTTTATTATTTATCCTCAGCACCTATATATAACAGTTTACATTGTCTCACCACTAACTCACACCGTGAACCCTTCTCAACCGGGATTTCATCCTTTGAAAAAATTCTAAAGGCCACCAATGTCCGGCCCCCGACAAATCCAGTGATTTCTTGCATTATTCTCTTTCTTTACACTACTTTTAATGATACCTGTGTCAACCGTGTCAACCACTTCACCATCTTGAAACTCTCTTTACTTTTGATTTTTTCCCCATAACACTTACAATCATTCATTCTTTCATTCAGAAACATTCACTGAGGAGCTGCTCAGTATTCCTTACCATGCCAGATGCAAACTCCGTGTTTATCTGCCTTATCCTTACGTGTTCTGTTTAGCTTGGCTCATCACACCCAAACCTTAAATAGGAATGTTTCCCAAAGATCTCTCCCCTGTTCTCTTCTTTCTGCCTCTGCATTTTTTTCCCCCTCAGAGGCTCCACACCCTGGTGACTCCCGGACTGTATCTCCAGCATTAATCACAGATCCCTATCCGCACACACTACCCACATCAAAATCAGAATTTGTCCTTCCTCCTTGAACCAGTTGCACTCACAATTTTCCCAGTGCCCCAGGTTTCTACATATTCATATTGTATTTTGTCACTTTTCTGCAACACTTCTAACCAGTGGTGAAATCTTTTTTTTTTTTTTTTTTTTTCCTGAAACATATTTCACTTTCCATCCTCCAGACTCAGGCTCAGGCCTGGTTTCTTCCCCTACCCCCTCACAGCTCAGCCAGGCATCCAGCCTCCAGGGAGTCTTCCTGTTTCCTCCACCAACTCATCCAGCCTACCTTCCTCACCAGTTCAATCTTTAAAATGCACCGTGATTCTCATATCACTCGGTTGCTCACAGTCCTTTCATGGTGGGCCCCACAGTTTACCAAAAAATTCTATTTACCTTTCTATTTGGAATGTCTAAGTTGATTTCCTGGCTTTTTGAGAAAATAGCTAAGCGAGGACAGAACACATAGAAAGGGAAAATTAACCTTGGTATTTTGAATTCAGATTATCTTTCAATAAGAAATGACAAAGAGCAAAATTTCAGTCTGAGACAGACTTGGTCTTTTTTTTTTTTTTTTTGCTTTGTTTTTGTTTTAAACTGCTACTGCATACAAGGCAAAAAGATCCACGTTAGTGACATTAATTATGGAAATTGTATCCACGGGGGAGAGAGAGTCTCCACGGCCTCTCCCGAGATCTGTAAAGCGGGAGAGGTAGAAATCATGAGCACGGCCTTGCGGCTTTTCCCCTTGTCAGAGACAGCTTGTCCCATCTCTGCAGCTCATTTAGGCTGCTCAGTCTGCCATTCAGGGCTCTCTCTTAGAGCACATTCAGTAATGATAAGGCCCCCTTGTCACATCCACTCTGCCACATGTAATTAAGTTCACGCCTCCCTTTAGACAGTTCACATCAGCAGATGACCAGCTGGATACCAGCCAGCTGGAAAAACACCCAGTTTGGGATGCAATAAAGGGAATCGGAGAGAAAGAGAATGGACAAAAATGATCAAAATTGTCCTGCGAGTAAATTGAAGTACCATTCATATCTCCTGATGTCCTCCCAATGTCTTCTCTTAGAAGTTCTGTCTCAGATCATGTGATGATAGAAAAGGTCCTCAGTGAGCAGTAGAAAGAAAGTATGTTCAAGAATGCCCTAAGGAAGGAGCAGAGGCTTGGTGTGCCTCAGTGCTGTCTACAAAGGAGGGATGGATGGCTTGTGAGAGAGAGGAAGAGCTTCGTGGTGAGATCACCTGGCTGTGAATTCTGCCTTCCCTCAGCTGTTAACTGTGAAAGCTCGGCTTCGTGACTCGTTTTCCCCGGGGCACTAGTTTTTTGATCTTTAAATTGGAACTCAGCATAACTCACAGAGTTGTAGTGAGGAAAAAAAATGAGATTAAAAGTAGGGTGAATAAATGGAACTATGCCTTCTGCTGTTAAGATATCCTAAAACACATTCTTGTCCCTGTGCTTCTACAAGAAAAACGCATCTTGTTCACAACACAAAAGAAGTGAAGAGAGGACTTTCTCATTATTTGTCACGGGGATCTTCCTGTGTTTGTGCCTTGATTCATGGTCTCTTGTGTGTATTTTCTTTTTGAGATCTCGGGGGTTTCTCTAGCTTCATTTTTATAAACAGAACTTCTCTGATGTGCACCAAGTTCAACAGAGTAATTCCCTCTGTACCTAAGTTCAGGTGGCGGGGGTGGCGAGAGGTGATTTATAGTTTCCTTTTCTTTAGAGTCAAAGGCAGAGGAACCTCAAAGCAGAAGTGTCTAGCTTTACTGATTTTTTGTTTTCTTTTTCTTTCATCTAAAATGCGCCATTATTCTGGCCAGGGTGCCGGCTATGTCATGGGAGGGAAAACCCTACAAGGCGCATGAATGCACACACACTTAAGCTTCAGCACGCCCCAGAGCAGCCCCGGCAGGCTTGATGGTGGTGGTCAGACAGAAAGTAAGAGACACGAACACCCCCCTGCTTCTCAGCATAAAGCACACGCCAATCCTCATTTCTCTTTCAATAAAGTGTCCATGTTGGCAAAGGCCTCGAGGGATAGATGAACGTGGTGCCAACCTTGACTTTGGACAGGAGGAAGAAGACAGAATGTAGATACAGGGATCTTAGAGATTGCAGCTCTTCATTTCTCCTGCAGCAAAAGAAGGGCGTGCTGTGGGCCTGTGAATGTTACTTTGCTTTGGGAATGAAGAAAATGAATATTTGATGTGAGTAAATACGAGCCTTATAGTAATTTTCTGTTGCTCAAATTTAAGGCATGAATAAGGCTCAAGGAACTTTGCCATTTTCTTAGACAGGCTAGTATTTGTCTAGGTGAAAGGAGACCACCTGAGGAAAAATAAATGTTCTGGGTCCTGCAGATTATAAATGCCAATATCTCCACCCGAGAGTATGATAAAAGAGCTTTTCGGCTTTTGAAGAACAAGACTAAAAATGGATGTTTTTCTGAGGATGAGAGAGGGAAGACAGAAGGTGTAATGCGTTATAATGGTAACCCAGTTCGACATTTGTCACTCTGGCTTTGTATGTGCAGCTCAGGACTGAAGAGCCGATGCCTTTCCCCTTGGGAAAAACAATGATAATTACATGTAAGGATTTTCATTTCAACAACGTCTTTTATTTTAAGATCTCAGTGTACTTCAGAAGCCGTAATCCATCAGGCCTTTCAAGCACTATTTAGTGCATGCATTTTATGTGGGAACAAACCAAGAGAGACCATTTGTTAGATTGTTAGAGGACAGATGGAAAATCGTATTTAGGACTTCTAAACCCCCTTGTTATTTTTACTTAAAATCACCTCATCTTTATGATTAGGACACATCCAAAACAAAGCCTCATGATCCAATCTAGCTTTAATCAACCCTAGATCCCTTTAGAAAGGCTCGATACGGAATTTGTAAGTGCCGAACACAAGAAGGAGGTTGATAACACTTAAGCTAGGGGGAGTCACGAAAAGAAGAAGCCGCAGGTGAGGATAAAGTACCAGGCTGATGTGGGGGTGGGAGGTCAGAGGTTAAGGGGTTGTCTAATCTCTGCGGCCTTTGACCCTATAATGGGAAAGGGCTGGATTCCTAAGTCAGGCCACATGAAGCTGATGTCTCTGTGTCTACCCACGTATCTCTCTAGACCATCTATGGATCACATTTCTGGCCTTTTTTTTTTTTTTTTTTGCAGCTATAACGGCCCCATGTCCACTTGAGAAAAGGTCTCTGGCCCTCGGCCCATACTCAAGATCTGCAAAAGTGTCTGAAGCTTCAAAGATAAAGAGAAGCTGACCTTTTAGAGGTCTAGGAGAAAAAAGGGTATGTTGGAAGCAGGGCACTCAAGACAAAAATATGTTGGGTTTATTCTTTCGATTGCACAATTCTCCTCCAGGTCAGACATTGATAAAGTCAAGCGCACCAGAAAAAGCATATTTACCTCATATTTTCTTTCCTGTGTACAGTCACATACATTTCGTAGACTCTCCCTTGGGGAATGGCCCCAGCGGGAATCAGCAAGCTTACTCCTGAATAGCAAAAGAGAAAAGCAGTCACATAAGACCTATGAATCAAAAGGAAACTTCACAGAATGCCTCTGAAGCAAGTGAAAGGGAATGAGGAGAGTTTGTGATCATGTAGCCACAAGCCTGCTTTTTCTCTAAAGACATGTAAATATTCAAAGCTGCCCTGCCTTCCTTCCTTATTGGCCTTGTTTGTTACCACAGCTCCCTCTGAACTGTTATGGAATTACTCAAAGGAATGATGTCATTTTTTAGACTCTTGTTTTATTTAAGGAATAGACAGATGGTTCCACTGTTGTTTTCCTTGTAAAACGAGGGGAAAACCAACAACCGCTTTTCAAATTTCAAACAGCTGTAATGATGCATCCTTTCTAATTTAAGAAAAAAAATCCCCGCAAAATTCAAAGTCAGGGAAATTGTAACATCCATGATATCAAAAAGCATTGATTTCTGAAATATCTGGTTAGCAACAGTGTTTTGCCATAACAGAATAATAACTGGTGAAGAACTTCTTTCATCATGGACAACTCTAGGAAATGATCAGACAACTGCTAGTTTTTAGTCACAGCAGGCCAAGCAAGTTTTTACGTAGTAGCTAATTGATACCATTTTGTAGGGGGTGGGGGGTCAACCTTGTTCTAAATTAACAGGGCCTACAGCAGCTGCTTGGCAATTTGAGCTTGTATCAGAATCACCTGGAGGCTTGCTCAAACCCAGATCACTGGGACCCACGTTCAGGGTTTCTGACTCAGGGGGGCGTAGAGAATTTGTACTTCTCGTTAGCTGCCAGGAGATGCCAATGATGGCCGTCCGAGGACACACTGTAAGAAGAGGCCCGCCTCACGCAGCGTCATCACAAAGAATAATTCAGGGTGGGCAGCAACCTGAAGATACTTGTCTCCATGATTTTATTCCAATAAATGGGGTTTCTTTTCAGCTCATTAAAAATTTATGGAGCACCATGGCGAGTATCCTGTTTGGCAGAACGGGGAATGCCAAGAAGTAAAAGACAGTGTTCCTGTCTTTGAGTAACTTATAATTTCATTGGTGAGGAAATGGAATATGCCAAATGAGCAGAGGGCAATAAGGAAACTTGCCCGACCATGTTGGAAAGTCTCAAGAATAAAGACTGGAGAGTGAAGGAGGAACAATTATTCAAAGGCCTTTGTGTGGTTGAAAATGTTGAGTCTTGGCCTTCTTGAGAAGGAAAGTTAACATCAGAGCTGTGGTGCTGTGGGAAGCGGGATGGCATCTAGGGTATAGAATGGTTTGTTTGCTGAGGCACAGAGTGGACGCAGGAAGGCCACACATGAGCCTACCGACCCTTGGTATTTTTATGTTTTCTAATGGGAACAGTAAAATGTACCATTATGTTTTAGGAATGAAATAAAACCGTGAATGTAAAGTAGTGAGAGTAAGGCCTAACACAGGTTAGGAAACTTGTTGTAAAATAATATATGTAAATTACCACTGCCTAGTACACAGAAAGTGTTTACTACATGTTATCTTCCTCCTTTCTACTTAAGAAGCCTTTATAATAATTCATATATGAAAAAGTGACAGGTGTAGAAATGGGAAGGAAATGTAGAATCCAGTGAATATCATGAAAAAAAAAAAAACCTGCCTTGAGAGTAATCTTATGTTCAAGCAATAAAGGAACCAGAGAGTGTATTTTGATCTATTTATTTGATAAACTTTTAAAAAAATGTATTTTAAGTCAAGATTTCAAAGAGCATACATTAGCATGAGAATTAAAGAGAAAAAGGTGAAAAAACATATATAATATATGATCTCAGCTATGTAAAATGTATAGATAAAAGGAAAAATGATATTCCATTAAGGGTTTTAATTTATTAAAATATACTTTTAAAGGGATGGTGTGACAAACTGGCAAGGCATTGAAATGGGGGACTGAATAAGAGAAAGAATCAAAGACAAGTTCATATTCAGATCTGCAGATCCACTGGTTCTATACAGAACTTGGCATATGGCTATTTACACATTATATTATTTGTGTATGCCACATGAGGACTTTAGGTCAATCAAATTGTTCCTTTTTGCTGTATTTGCAAAATACTTAGTCTTGTCCAAAAGAGCTAAGATAGACTCACAGAGGAATCCATTAACCCTTTTAGGACCAATAGACACAAACTTCTTACTGATTAAAAAATATTAAAATTTAATCAAACATTATCAGTCACTAACGTAAATTCACCTTGTAAGACCTTTATGAGACTTATTTTCTAGAAGCAGATAACTAAATGATAAGCTGAAAAAAGTATATACTACACATAATAAGGTTGTGATTCCAGACAGATCCATCAGAGGTGGGCATGGGTACCTTACAAATACCTTGAGGTTAAAGACTGTGTAATAAAGAGTTAATAGATAAAGATTTGACGTCTACCATGATGCCCTCTGATCTAAAAATTAGTATTCTGAAGTACTGCTTCCTACAGTAAATTGGAAGCGACCCAACTAATATGTTTTCTAATTAATTTGTCCTTTTAAAGTGTGATGACAACAGTGAGCACTTCTCGCTTGCCGTTGCCTTCTCCAGCTCTATTAAAAAGAAGGTCAATGACAGTTCTAAATTACACCTTGGCAGAAAGTTGTGAGTATAATATTTCTAGAGGAAGTGTTTTCAGAGTTGGTTGGAGAAAGATGAATGGTTTGGCTGATTTTGTCTAAAGTACTGTTGATTTACATCAAAAATGGATTTGGGTTAGATTAGGCTACAACTAACTTTTCATGCCTCGTGAGAACAAACAAACGAAAAAGATTTGGGTACAAAAATACGTTTTCAAGAGCTGTGTAACTTAAATATCTAGGAATTACCTGAATTGGGAACAATGAGGTGACCCCCCAGAGAGTTGAAGGTGCCAAACGCAGTACAGGATGGGTCAGTCTGCCTCGCTAGACTCTGATTCTTCACATTGAGGGCCTCATTCTCCAACAAGGACTGGGTCATCTGAGGAGACAGCTTTGATGCGAACTCAGAGAGGTCATCTTGGGGGGTGACTGCACCTGAGGTGTTGTAGACTTTGATTTTCAGGTTGGGCAGTGGATCCAGAATTGGAGAGTTAGTCATTGGGATTTTGTCTGAGACATCATGCAAAGCATAGACGGGTCCTCTGTACATGGCTGCGGCCGATGTGAGGTCTGGGGGTACCACCAGGAGATCTGAGTCAGAAAGAGAAAGGAAGTCCATTTGCATTCTCCATTCAGGCAACTTCTATTTAGTCAGGCTCCCCTGAGACCTTCTGAGCCAAAAACAAAGGAACTCAGTCAATATTAGAGATGGATAGACTCTAAGGTTCTGTTGGAAACAGGGCAATTAGATTACTGTGATCCAGTTTATTATTGGCTATAAACAAAAAGACAAGTTCATTCTAAATTTTGCTTTCAAGTCTACTCATTGTTCCTAAGTCAACAGACTGGATTCGAAGACAGTGTTCCCAACTCAGTGACTTAGTAAATAGTTTCCCTTGTCTGTATTGGATTTGAGGTCATCCATCTGTATACCACTTTATTCATGTCAATGCAAGGTGTCTTGTCAAGAGGCAAAAAAAAAAAAAAAAAAAGGAGATGTAAGAAATCAGTCAACCAATCTCTGTGCTTTTTTAAAGTGAAAGTTTAAAAGTATGACAGAGAAACCTGTTAAGAAAAAAAAAAAAAAAGATTTGTTCATCTTGCCACCTCTGGTTTGTTATAGGAATGAGGTCAACAGAATAATGAATAAAACAGACCCAAATCCATTTCTTCATGGAGCTTATGTTTGAGCTGAATGACATGACCTGAAGGTCACTGATTCTGACACCACCCAGGGATGCTGCTGACACGCGTAAATCGCAGGTGTGAAGTGCAATGTCAACTGACCTTGTCTCGCTGCCTTGATGTTCACGGGCTGAAAGCCTCCATTGAGTGCCGAGGAGTCAATAATATCAGACTCAAAGTCGCGATGATTCTTGCGATACACAAATAGGGCCACCACTACAGAAATGGCCAGGCAAACTATCACAGCTATCACAATGCCAACATACAGAGCAACATCATCTGAGTCAGGAGCAGCTGAGGAGGACAAGGAAACATTGGACCAACTGCTTAGAGAAATTTCCCACAGTACACATCCATATTGCTGTAATTTTTTCAGACATTTATTGCTTTTTTTATAGGTTAATTTCAAATCTATTTCAAAAGCTATATAAAACAACTGTGGCCTTTCAGTGGAAAATTATCTCTGATTTCTTTTCCTTTCTCACTCTGCATCTATCCACCCACTAATCTATCTTAAATTGGGCAGCATAACAGGCCATTTATTAGAAGGTATAAAAAGAAACTGGAACTGAAACCATCCCAACCCACAGGCAAAAAAGCAAAGCTCATTACTAATTTCAGGTGAAAAAGTTTGGAAGGCTGCTTTGAATTCACTGATAGTTCTCCAAAAACATAAACATAAATACTCTGTTAGAAATAACCAACATGTTTGGAATCTGTGTATTTATTGAACTAGAATATTTTCCTAAGTATCCTTCCAAGTCATAAAATTACTTCCCGTAACACTCTTCTCACTTTCCCCTAAATCAAGGAAAGGGTGGCCGGGAATGGTATCCATAACTAAGCAAAACAAATATTAGAAGAAAACATGATGGATTTGAAAGGTGTGCTTTCAGAAGACCCAGATCTGGGAAGCAGAGGTCAATGCAGATAACTCTGGGCTTTTGATACGGATTCGGTGTCACTTCTGAGAACTGTGAGCTTCTCATGGCCACTGGTCAGAGAGTTACATCTGAGCTACTCGTTACTGAATCAAATACGTCTGGATGGTGCACTGAGTAACATAAAGGACTGGTTCAGTGATCAGAAAGGTCAGACTGCCCGCGAAGGCAATTAAGCCTTGGACCAACACAGTGTGCAGTCTGCTGGGGGTCTGTTTCTGGGTAAAGCCGGAAGAAAATTCCTGTAAATGTTGCATATTGCCTTGGTAGCATAGAACGTGCTTTAGAACGAGCTTCGATCAGACTGCACATGGTGATAGAAGCTGATAATTGAAACAAAATGAATAGAATGAAACCTTTCCGGAACTCCGCAGGCACCTTTAAGTCTGTTTTTAGTTTAGCGTGACCCACAAACATTTTCCGCAAAGTTAACCGAAGTTTTTCCATTCACTGCAAAAGAGGTGATTAAACTGGTGTTTTAGGGGGTCAAGAACAGCATTTTTATGCTCCATTGTATACACCCATGATTTGGGGGAAAGGGCATTTTCAGATATGTTCAGATAATATATTCAGATAAGTCCCAGGGACTCCTAAGAGTTGAGGAGCCAGGACTCTGTCCTAAGACTCACAGCCACCCAGTTAATACGGGCAAATGAACCTTCATGTAGATTGCCAGCGGCTCACCTAAACTCTGGGGTCACAGTTTCTTTGACACATGGACAATATAAAGGAATTCCCTGTTGGAAACTGCTCATCTCTTTTGGCATTTTGTGTTTAAATGCACAGCATGTGACAGATTTTTTTTTTTACTACTATCTTTCCCGAAGTTTCCAGAACATCAGCTTTCCCATCAGTCAAGTCGATATTGACAGATCTTTTCAGAATCCCGGTGACAGCCCGAACCCTCCCGACTGCGTGAGCCCTGCTTTCCCAGCGCGGACAACACTACACTGCTGGGCAGAATCGAGGCCTGCCGCAGCATTCTGACCTCCGGCCAGAATAGTCTATCTAAATCCTTAAGGTCTTACTTCACCAGGCTGTGATTACGTCCCCGACCTGCATGCTTCCTAACTCAACAGATCTGTCTTTTCTCAGCCCTTTTCTTTTTAGCATCTGAACCCAGCACTTTATTAGATCAGCCTATTTCCCGATATGGTTTGTCAGCTACAGGGACTGCCTAGCCGACTGAGAGATGTGAAAGCTGGCAGAGGCTTACAATGACCCTCCTTTCTTCTCTTCAACAGTGAAAATCTAATTTGTTTTTCATGTTAGAATACATTAGGTGCCTATTTCCTGTGTGCACATCTGTGATCCAAAGAAAGGTAAACTTGAACTGGGGGCAATCACGTTAAATGATTATTCAGCAACATAAAAACCAAACATTAAACTTACAAGAAAATCCATATTCATTCTGGGTTCTCTGTTCAGTTGAAATAGGATAAAGGAAACCTTGAAAAGAACAAAAAATGAAACAAAAATGGGAACAAAATCAAATTAATGAGGGAAACGAAATAAGAAGCATGAAAAATGGTTTAATTAAAAGAAAAGGAAAAGAAACCTGTGGTCCTTTAAAATTCTGGTTTGGTACAGAATTATGATTTCGCATCTCCTGTCTGTTCTGGAGTCTCACCAAGAATTAATAAGTAGGCAGATTGAATTTCAGAGCAAAACTGGTCTCGAGTCACTAACTTTGGAGTGCTTAAAGTCTTTCTTTTATTGAGCATAAACTCTAATGGATCTAATTTATTTCAGACATCAAGGGTCATTAGCATAAGGAAAATCTTTTTTCCTTATCCCTGCCATATGCTTTAATTCCCAGGACATATTCAGCAAGGCTCTAAGCAGTTTTTTTTTCTTTTTTATTTAATCATAACAGCTTGGTCTAATAGAACTAAAGAAGACCTGTCATCGTTGGTCAAAGGTTAAATACCCATTTACTGAGCTGACCAGAGACCACCCTTCCTCCCTCCATCTCAAATCCACTTTTTGGATTTTTTGGTTGTTTCTTGTCCCTCCATTTAAAAGGAATCCAATAGGTTCTGCCCTGGGACTAAGCAGTTTGTTGATGCAATGGAAACTGGATGCTTTTTATTTGAAATCATTCAGAAATCAATAGGGCCTAGAGGTTATAAGGTTATTTATTTTAGGGCATCAGAGGAATAGTGTACATTGAGAAACATAAAAACTTCATCTCAGCAGTAAATGCAGAGATAACATGAGCAGTTTTATTTTTCTTTCTTTTTAATGTATGGCAGGTAGGAAGGATGATGATGATGATGATAAAAATAATGTCAGGAAGAAGAGCGGGAGAAAACATTTACAAATGCGGAATACAACATTTTTGAAATGAAAACTGTATAGAAAATTTCCAAGTGTAACTTAAAACTGGCATCCCAAGTTTCCTAATATTTAATATTCTGCAACACACGAATTGATTAGATGATACAGTATCACTGGATTCATCAAATTAAAATGAATAAGAGGCATATGAATAAACTTTCCTGGTAATACTCAAGGGCAAAAAGTGTAGAGAAACTGCAAGAATCACAACTAATTGGTTCAAAAATCAAAGGTCCGTAGTGCTCTCATACTAAAGGTAACTCTTAAATCATGTCTCAGGTAGATCCTCTGTAGTTTGCAGAACACTCAGTTCTTACAAGCTATTTACCTATTTTGGGGAACTAATTCTGCGGAAACATGCAGTGCTACCTTAATGAAAGAGAGGTTTGCTGTAGCACAGACAAGTTTGCTCTGAATTAATTTTTAATGCTTTATTTTAGAGCAATGATTGCAACCTCCTACTCAGTTTTATAAATATTATATTCCTTATTCCAGTTGTCTGAGTCCATGTATTAGGTTTGATTTTCATTTTTAAACACTTCTGCCTGGTAATAACCTTTTTCCATTTGTATTCTGTGAACTCAATAAAAGGACATCTGGGACATATACAGGCACTGGAAGAAGGGTGGTTTATTTTCAAAGCCAAAGACTTGAGACCATACGAGGTCACTGCCAGCAGAGGAGACAAGGTAACTGATGTTGTCACTCTGGCAGGGAAGGTGTTAAGTAGAGGGATGTCAAAAGATTCATTTCTTGCAGGTTAGAAGGCCTGGAAACCAGTGTGAAAGAGGACATCTGGGGATGATCTGAAGTTCACCTTGAAAATTTTGATAAGAATCAGTGTGGGCCTGCTGGAGTAAGCAGGAGAGCTGTGTCTTACAGAAGGAGAAGGCTTCCTCCAGACTGACATAACATGATTGGAAATTTCTCCATGTGAGGCAGTTCTGGGCATGCCTTGGCTTCTACCTCCTTTTCCCAATAGAATCCCTGTTCTTGACAGGCAGACCAAGGAATAATAAAAAGGAATGCTATAATTTTGATTTTAATCTCAACTTCTCCATATTTAGGTCGATCTGCACAAATCAATAAATATTTTGGTGGCTTATGGTATTCATCTGAGACTTCTATTTCATTCTAGGCACAGATCTGGAATTCATTCACTCATTCATTCATTCGGCTAACAATTACTCTTAAACCCTATTATATATTAGGTTCTATTCTAGGCATGGGGTAGGATGGCTCACAAGATGGGAAAACTCCCTGCTTTTGCTTCAGTTTAACAGAAAATAAACAAGTAAAAATAATAGATAAGATCAATTCAAATGCTGAAAAAATTTATTTTGAACAATAGAACAAAAGAATGTAATGTGACTGGAGACACAGGGATGGACAACTTAGGAAATCCGGGAATAAATTCTTTTGAACTGGGATTTGAAAGCGCCTGGGTGACTAAGTCCGTTAAGTGTCCGCATCTTGATTTCAGCTCAGGTCATTATCTCAGAGTCGTGAGATCGAGAGCCCTATGTATATGGGGCTCAGCACTCAGCAGGAACTCTGCCCCTCCCCCTCCTCCCTCTCCCTCTCTCTCTCTCTCAGAGAAATAAATAAACCTTCAAAAAAAAAAAAAAAAAGGGATTTGAGCTGAAACTTGAACAATGAAGAAGAATTAGCCAAGCTGAGTTCAGGAGGGAACGATGGTCCAGAGAGGGACAGTAAATACAGAAGTCCTGACATAAAAATGGAGTGGTGGGAGGGGAGCAAGTGAGAGCAAGAGGGAGGAGGCAGGGTCTGAGGGGTGAGGAGAAGCCACATGTGGGCCTGGTGGGCCATGACGAAGCATTTTGATTTTATCCTGAAGGAAATAAAAATCCTGTGATCGAATGTAATTTTGAAAAGAGTGCTTTGGTTTTTCTCTAGATAATGGAGAGCAAAGGGAGCAAAGTGACAAGATTTTATGGATGTTTTTTGTGACACATGGCTTGGGAGATGTCTATCAGTAGGTCTATCAATATAGTTAAGTATTTGCATCAAGGCAGTTCAAAAATAAAACAGAAATTAAAAAAAAAAAAAAAAGAAAGCCTCCCCATGAGTTATTCCTCATAGCCAATGAGGACCAATCTAGCCAAACTGTTATTTTCCTACATGGGCAAATTTAAAACAGACCAGAGTATTAAGTATATTCACTAATGGTTCAACACCCCAATTTACTCTGTTATGGAAACACTGATAAAGAGTTTTGGAAGGCAACTCTATAAAACTTTTTCCATCCTTTTCAAAACACTTCTGCAACTACAGAGCTAAAGCATCACTTATGAGCCTGGGAATCGGAAAAGAAGGGGATTATTGTTCCATCCCCTAAACGAGGGGAGCAGAGAATCACTTTTTAGAGTTTGTTTTTAAGCTTCTCCATCTGATCCTTCTCTCACGGAAAAACAGGGGACATTTTCCTCAGCTAATGAGGTGACCCTGCTGGGAGCAGTCCTCGCCATAATGAAAAATAACATCTCTGGCCGAACATGGTGCAAAATAATTGTTTTCGTGTCCCAATCAACAGCCTGGCTCATAAGTTAGGGATTTCAGTTAACTTTCTTACTACTTGAAAGTAAGCCATCGAAAAAGGCACCAGGGCTCTTGGCCAAGGCAGGGACACTGAGTTTTTCATTCTTCAGTTTGAATCCTAGCTCTGCTGCTTCCTTAACTGGGAGAGCCTGGCCAGATTGCTTCCCTTTCCTACGTATAAGGGTTCTAATCCGCGTACGGGGAATGCGAGTCCTCACTCCCATAGAACTGTGGAAAAGGTAAATGAGATGTGTCAAGGACTGGTCCATGGCAAGCAATCGATAAATGACAGCTCTATCAATATCATTATGATGCACATTGCAAGTACACAAAGACTCTAGGTTCATAAGGGATTTTCTTTGTAGAGTCAACTTAGCCCATCATTTAATGAGTGATTTTAGGAAATTTGAATTTCAGGTTCCTTAGTTATGACAGAGACAAAGAGCCCCATTTTTCAGACCTTTAATACTGTATCTTAAATACCATATTTATTTTAATACTGTATTTTAATACAGTATTTTTATATACTGTGTTAAATACTGTATTAAATATTTTAATTTTAAATACTGTATTAAAACGCACTCTTTTAAATACTGTATACTCCTTCACGCTCTCCTTTGAAAGAGGTTTACGGCCTTAGAGGCTTCTGGCAACCATACAGCAGCATGCTTCAGGAGCAAGTTTCTAGGGCCAGAGTGCAACTTGATGCTAAAACAGCTTTCAGCCAGAGGTGGTGCCACTTCCAAAGGGGATGTTTGGAATTGGGGCAGGGGAGGTATTTTTTGTTGTTGTTCTTGTCATAATGATGAGGGAGTTGTTTGTGGGACTTAGCGGGCAAGGGCCAAAGAGACAGAATGTCCTGCAATGGCAGGAACGGGCAAATGGAAGGCCCATCTGGAACAAAACGCACCTCCACTGGTAATGCCTTCCAAAACCATGGCTCTCGGATTGCTAGAAGGAGTAAAGGCACGGGGCTCCGGGAATGATCTAAGACTTGTGCCACCGGTTGTGGGAGACTCCGTAAGCGCCCCTAGGGGAGGCCAACCTCACAGCGGGGCCTCTGCTATGGGAAATGCTCATGCCATGACCTCCTTTAGGAATTTTTAAAAGAAAATGTAAAGTAATTCCAAAGAACATATATTTTTGAATGGAAAGATGTTCCTGATCTGAGAGAAAAGGGACTAGAGGATGTCTGATTGTGGAGAGCCACTTGAAGTGAAGACCTAAGTAGTTTGAAAACTGAAGCACGAGGAGGATGTTTTAAAGAGTTAGTCAGAAATGCTCCTTGTGCTAGAAAACACCACACAATTGCTCCAAACAGCATTTGAAGAGGTTATCTCGTCCAGTCTTTTGCAGGTGAGGAAACTGAGTCCCAAAGGGGAGAAGTGATATTTTAAAGTAACCAAAAATGTTGTGATTAAAATTTGGTTTTCACCCTCCCCTCAATTAAGATCGCATTGTCCAACTTTGGGTGGTCCCATTCAGAGCTGTGTGGACTGTCTATGTGGATTGTTAATCTAACAATGTTCCAGCTGATAGTGGTAAAGTGA